TGTTGATTTCTTCTGCAGCTTTTTAGTACATTGGCTCCCCCTCCTGTTCATTTGGTGTAAGCAACAAACTGAACAAATGGTGCCAGTTACAGAAGTTTCTCAGCACTTACCATGATTGCTTTTTGAAAGCATGTGTTTGAGGCTCACAAGAAAAGACTATTTCTCAGGCATCCCTATGAAGGACACAATCCTTGTTCAATACATAAGAATATCTGGGTCCAAACCAGTGGTGTATACAAAATAATACAACACCACTGTGTGAAGCATAATTAAAAAAAAAAAATCCTTTCCAGTGAATTAAAAAAAAAAAAAAAAGATTTTAAACAATGAAAAAGACAATGAAAAAAGGACTTTCAAATAAAGCCATTACCTGAAAACTTTAAAAAACAGTCCACAGAGTTAAGAGATGTGTAAATTAAAGAGTATGTTTGAATACTGAAGTGCAAGAAGCTGCCTGCAGTTCAACCAATACAAAAGAAGTATAAATTGTAACAGGTAAAATGAAGAGAAAGACCAGATGGGTAAAATAACCACTGACAATTTGTACATGTGAAGCAGAATTAAAATCAGTCACTATGGCACAAATCTGTGGAGTTGAAAATGTGGTACCTTTCCTTTAAAAATAGCACTGGGAAGAACTCTAGATCTAATAGGAATAGTAGGTAAACTGACAGAATAATTGGAAATAAAATGACAAGGTCCCATAAGAAACATGGTAAGATATGTAGAAACCTGATTTCCATTCCTCTCTGTTCTCCGAACAATGAATCAGCAGTAGAAGGAGAAATGGTACAAACGCTTTCAGGGAAAGGCTGGTTACAGTCAGTATAGGCACATTCCTGCAATGAAACCCAGGTGACAGCACCACGTTCTTGAGGCTACATGTAGGTGACACCAACAATATTTTTAAAATTCAGTGTATGTGGTGCATTTTTCCTACTTGTCTGGAAGTACTACACATCAGGGAATGCCTACATTGTCATGCTGCAGCTCACAGTAAAAAAATCCCGAGATATATTGCAGGTAAAAGCCACATAAAAACTTTCACCTGCTTTAGCTCTATTAAAAATTTAGAATTAAACAAGATCAATAAAACGCAATGTCATACAGATTAAGAACCATCAGACATCTTAAAAAGAAATTGTCACCAGACAGTCACGACTGAATGGGGACATGAGCAGTGAATTTCTGCAGATTATTGTAAGGGTCCGTCAGCAACTTGTGAGGGCTTATGACCAAAAGACCGGCAGCGTGGTAAGACAGGGAGAACAGTCTTACATACAAAAATATGTTTTAACACATGAAGAATGAGGAAGGGGAAGATGCATCTGGAGAGTGGGTGATTCTGCAAGGAACAAGGCAGGGGCTCACATTGCCCGAGCAAGCTGCAGTGAACTGCGTTAATGAGATGTAAAACCAGCAGAGTAATGACTTCTGATCTCCACTGCCAGGTTCATTGTTATCCAAGACTGTTTAAAATTAAATGCATAAACAACCTGGAAAGAACGCACCTTCTCCCCTGCTCCAAGGTATGTGTTTTGAACACTATGCTATAGTTAGCTCATTCTTCGCTCATTTTTTTTCTGGCTCTCCTTTTGCATAATGACACCTCCAACAGAGGTATAGAGCATCTTCTTCCCAGCACACGCGTTCAGTTTGGTGGTTAATGCAGCCTTCTGGAAATTTGGCGATGTGAATCTGTACCCTGTCACAGAAGCAAACATGTCATCCATGTCTCTTACCTCCTGTGAGACCTCTAACCAGAAACTACTTATTCAAAAGGTGACCATGATATTTTCTGTACTTCAGATCAAAACAACAATCCTGGAAAAAAACATGCAAGTACTTACATGCAAGTTCTGAATCACGAGCAGATGGCGGTAACTACCTGGAGTCCTGACTCAGCCATTACAGCACTGGAAGGGGACAGGATTTCACACCTTTCCCCAGGGTTAACATTTTCTACTGCTAGTTCTGGGCTGCTCCCCTCCCAGAATAACCTGATTTTCAGGACACCAGCTTGAAACTGTTCAAATTGTCCTATATGCAGTAACACAGAGAATTCTATTGGCTTTGGCCCTGGAAGAGTTTTTAGGATGCGTTTTAGATAAAAGCAAATGATGAAGGTTACTAAAAAGGTAAATGTGTGCACTTTAATGGCCTTTGATATACATGAGAGACTAGAATATCTAATAGTTCTTAACTATTAGCTATTTAATTTCTGTTCTCCCCCATCAGAGAAGTACAATGTATCACATTTGTTTTGGATCACTGATACTGTATTTTATACCAAAAAAGGAGAGCATTATATAATCCCACACAAGACTAGGTCTATTAAAATGAACAGATCTTTAACTGAAGTGATTACCTACAACTGTATGGACAGCTATGAATGGAACTCTCCCAAATGTAGCTGTTTGTAGAGTGATCTGTTGACTTGTCAAAAAACACTTGAATTGTTAAGACCAAATAAAAAAGAGCTTCTGTATCACTAAATTTTACTGGGATGCATAAATGTCTGTAATTTTGAAAGTATCCTACCTGTTTCATTTTGGTTTTGAAAAGTCATACTGTGAAAAAGTGTACTTTTGAATTTTACCTTTTTTCCAGTCATTATTGACATTGACAATCTTCATGCATTTGCATAACTACAGGTGAAAATATTACAAGATCAGTTTTAAAGGCATACCCCATCAAATCTGTAAACTCATAGCCAAGAAGCATTTTTATGGGATGGTGCAATGTTTGGCAATGGTGCCTTGATTCCCTAATTGGGAACTGTAAAGGAAGTACAGAAATACCAAATGTCTAGACTGATAGCACTATCAGAAAGAAAAACACTAAACTTGCTACTTCATGAAACAAAAGGCAAACCCCACTCCTACTCTATAAAAATAGAAACCAAAGAACTAAAGCTTGATTCCACAACCAATCTGGACACCTTCCTCCCACCCTCCAATAAACCACCCAGGCACTCACAGTAACACTTATCTATGTTATAGTGATAATCTAACCTTCTTCCAATACTCTTACTTCACTGATCCACTAGTAGAAATACTACAGTACTGTGTTTGTCCAATGGTAAATGGCTGCTAGTCATCTACAACAACAAATCTTGGAAGCTGTTGCTGTCTAGGGCTGCATACATAGAGGCAAAGTAGAAATTTTAAAGGTCAGAAGGGTCTTTTCCCTAAAATGTAAACAAGGATGCATCCCCAGTCTAGAAGTTAAAAGTTCAATTTCCTCCATCTTCAGTGGTATGTGTAAGCTGCACTTGTCTTTGTACCAAGGCCTCTGAGGTACACAGACAGAACAAGCCAAGTGAAATTGCGTCCCCTGCTTACTTTGGACAAAGGATCACTCTGCTTTCTCCTGAACGAGTTTTTCTAATGATGGATAACTTTTTGTAAATTGTTGCCTGTGCAGAATTAAATGCTACCTTACTGCAAAATACTCTTCTCTACAGTCCACTTCTTCTCCAGCTCAGCTGGGGAAGAAGAGCAGCCTGGAGGTCACAAAGTTTTTTGTCACCTCATGAAAGTGCAGACAGAACACAGTGTCAACTCTCTCCATGCAATCCACTATAATAATTTCAGAAGACTACAGAGCTGGGTAAGGTTACACTCTGTATCTACTACTAGTCTATCAGGGTTTTGGCACAGTGAAAGCCAAGTCCTGCACAGTCATAAAGGTGCTATGATGAACATCACTTCTGAAAATTAGAACAGTCATTAACTACCACAACTTGAAGGCACCTCTTAACAAGCTTTTAGTAAAGAAGCTGCTGTTGCTTAACATTAAGTCTGCCCTTCCATTTGCAGGAAATAATGCTTGCACATTAGTTTGCAAAAAGTCACAAAACATATGGTACCAACCATTGAGACTTGTTAGTAACCGTAATTCTTTTCACTCATTAATTCTGAATAACAGGCCTTTGCAACTCAGTCATTAAGCACACTATTCTACCTGACATAACTCGAACTCAGCCAATCCCACAGCACAGCTACACCTTTGAATTTTCTCTCATCTTACTTGGGAAATACAGCAAAAGTGCTGTTAAAGAGAACACTGGTGGAGGAGCTTAGCTTTGCTAGTAGTTCTAGTCCAAAATACTTTCTAACTTCACCACACTTGTAAGTATCTCTCAGACCAATTCCATCAGCATTTACTTTTTTCTATGCTGAGCTTTCGCTTGTCTCATTTCCTCGTGATGTAGAGCTGGACACACAACTTTTCTCTACATCCTCACTGTTTTTCACTTAATTTTAGACACATACAGCAAACAAGACTTTAATTTTTTTTAATTTGCAGTATTGATTGCTCCGAGTTATGCCTTACTGTTGGTACACAGTAAATACATTCATCTGAACAATTTGCTTAGTATGAAAAAAATGCAGTTAAAACATTAAAAATACCGCTTTACATTGTGTGAAACAGAACCTTCAGAAGTAATGACATTGGCTACAGGCAGGCACACAGGAAGACTGTTTCCTTTCAGTCTATGAGCACATTCATTCCTGCACCCCTTCAGCTGAAATTGCCTGCAACAGTAGATTTTAGGTAAATGTTTCTGCTGAATTAAGAAGATTTAATAACTCTCCGCCTGGTCTTTAGCACTTGTATTTGCAGAAGAGGATATTGTTCTGTTCTATTCATTACACTAAGAATGGCTGGTTTTGGAAGATTTACTGAACAAAGGGTTTAAGCAACATTTAAAAAACTGAAGATGTTTCTGAAGGGGAGTTATACTCTATTGGTGCATGCAGCTGTCAAAGTTTGGATAAATTAGGTAACATGCTTCCCCTAGATAAAAGAGAAGTGGCTGGGCACAACTGCCATTTCACAAAGAGAATTTAAGTCAGATGAAATGCATTCTTATCGCAAGCTTTAGACAGATTAATATATACCACAACACCTAGCACTGATTAAATTTAGAAAAATATTATCTTGGGTGTTTTGGTTTTTTTAGCCTTTGTTGTTTTGGGTATTTTTTTTTTTTTAAAGTCTTTAAGGTAGCAGAAGATGTACGGTAAAAGATGCCAAAAACCACCCTGCTTTTTAATCTGGAAGAGTTGGGCTGTCAAAGCTATTATGCTGCTGACAATTACGCATTTGATTACTTATAGATTATTTTTTTTTTTAAACAATGAAGAGGCCGGAAATGTTTTGGGTTTTTGTTGTTTTGTTTTTTTTTTTTAATTCTATGATGAAGAATGACTGAACATTATAGTCATTTAAATCAACCCAATTACATAGTTTCCATTAAGTTAATGGCTGCCAAACAAGCGTGTACTCCAGTGACCCACCGTGAGCAACATTATCGGATGGGTGAGACAGATTTTAAGGTTAGACACAGTACATGTAAAAATAGAAAGTTTAAAAACCAATCTCATCACAGATATTTCCATTGCCATCTCCTTTGTGAAATAAATAAGGCAGCAGATAACTTTTACTTTGAAGTGGCATCTTTGAGGTATGCTATTAAGTCTGCTCTCTCAGACTTCTTCTTAATACCCGCAAAAATCATCTTTGTTCCTGGGATATACTTCTTTGGATTTTCCAAATACTCCATCAGAGTATCCTCACCCCAGGTGATACCTAGAGAGAAGAAAAAAAAGATAGTGTCTTCAAAATAACAAACACATTTATACTCTTGTCCTCCACATTATTTTACTTTTTGGCAGATTTCAGTACTTCCTAGAACTATCACTGAGAAGCAAGTATTTTTGTCCCTAGTAACTCATAAGAACAGCTTTAAGTTTACCTTTATTCTTATTCGCATCCGTGTAAGAGAAGCCCTCAGCCTGTCCAGTCTTGCGTCCAAATAGGCCATTCAGGTTGGGTCCAGTCTTGTGCTTGCCTCCCTTTTCAACTGTATGGCACTGGGAACATTTCTGGACAAAGATCTTCCTGCCCTTCTCGATATCTCCCATTTTCAGTACTAGACCAAGAACACACACAGAGGTCAGTATCGCAATTTCAAGGTCACCTACTCAACAGAAACTCTGAAAGCACCCTGTTGGTTTACAAAACGGTATATATGGCCTGTCGGTCTAATATTTCTCCAGCACACTTTCTATCTACAAGCTATAGCTCCTGGGTTTGAAAATTAGCATAGAATCATTAGACTACACAAAAGGTATCACGGTGATAAACATGTTTGAAGAGCAGGAAAAAAAAAAAATCTCCCCCCGGGCAAGGTAACTGCCCCACAGCATTTAAACAGTACGGAGATAACTTTTGAAGAGTAAATTGAGCACGACTTCCACATACAGCTTGTACATCTGTAACGGGAAAGCTTCCCGGTCGCGAATAACCTTGTGCAGAGGGACAGGACCGTTGGCATGTTTCTCCACTTCAGCCGGAGAAGCCCACCTGCACGCCACCTTGGAAGGAGCCGAGGGCAGCAGGCACGGAGCCGGCCCGCCCCCCTCTCGCCACGAGCCGGGATGCCGCCCGAGCAGCCGCCAGCAGCGACGCGGTTTCCACGAGGTGCGGCGAGAGCACCCAAGGGCAGCCGCACCTCGCGGCTCCGGCTCTACCTCCGCGGAGGCTGACCTTGAGGCGAGGAGCCGGCTGCCGGCGCGGGGGGGGCCCTCCAGGCAAGCGGGGGGTAGGGTGAGGGCAGGACCCCCCGGGCGGCGGCTGGCCCGCGGTGGGGCCACTAGGCCCCGCGGTGACCTTCCGCCGCACCCCGGCCGCCTCCTTAGGCCGCGGCCCCGGGCTCTTCCGCCCCGGCCCACGGAGGCGGGAATCGCGCCCTCAGGACAGACGAAGGCGCCTCCCGCCCTCCCT